GTGTGTGTGTGAGAGAAGAGAGAGAGAGAGAGAGAGAGAGAGAGAGAGAGAGATAGAGAGAGAGAGAGAGAGAGGATGTGGGCACTGTTGTGAGGAAGCTTGGAGCGGAGAGGGAGAGAATGTATCTGCCATTGTCCTTGAGGTCTTGTGTGTTTATGGTATATAGTGCCCACAGTTTTAACGCTTCACTGATCTGCTGGTCAGCAGTTTTCAGGGGTCACACGCTAAAAGTTTCACACTTTGTTCGCTAATAGATTTTGATCTGCCTGCCTGAGGCCCTGTACTGTAAAACACTGCCAGTCCGAAAAGGAACCGAGACCATTAAAACTGAAAAAAAAAAACCCAACAAAAAAGACATCCTCCCTTCTTGTCCTCATCATGGCATGATTTAGAAAACTATTGTACTTTGAATGAAGGGGACCTGATGCATAGGCATGGACGATGAAACAGATGTTAAAATGAACATTTTTATTATTATTTTACATCTGAGCAATAAAATGAAATGTACCACTACATGTGCAGATGTATGAATTAGCTAGTTCAACCTCACTTACCTAAACAGGGAAAATGTACATATTTCTTTGCATCTTATTTATTTGTACACATCAATACAGTTTATCTTTTTGTTTTGGTTGTTGGGACTTGTGCATGAGTTGCAATATCTCTGTTTTTACCATTTTTGTTTTTTATATCCCTTTGAAAAGCAGCTGATGATCTAACAGAAACTGCCTCATTGAAAAAACAGAAAGAGAATATTCATAATATGATCCAGGCTCACATAACTTAATACACCCTTGTGCAGATGAATTTGCTATTCAGTTTTAATTGATTGAAAATGAAAATACCCGACAAGAAAAATCTCAGCACCTGTGCACAATTGATTCAGTGTGGAGTAGCAGTTGTTTGTCCCCGCTGATTTCCCCTGTGAATACTGTGGGTAAATTAGCAAAAGCAAACAACCACTGAAGTCATTCACTACATTCTTGGAGCGCTGTAGAAGGAGCAGGATGATTCAAAGCTGGCTCGATGACTCAGATTCCTGTTTACTCATCGCCATTTAACCAGCCATGTACTGCACCTGAATAATTTACAGCCAAGTCCTGTCCGCAGCTTGAATTCTCATACTCGAGAAAGCAGAAACGATTTGGAGAGAAGAATGGCAAGGGAGCATGGATTTATAGAGCTTTTGAGATTTCAGAAATATGCAAGACATTGCGTAGTGAGACGTTTGAATCCCACAGATGAGTACTTTTTATCCAAACTGGGTATATTTGTCTGGTGATTCAAGGCAAGCTCATGTTTCTGTATCTCAAACATGGTGAGTGGTTTGAGACTGAATTGGGTTTACTTGATGTGGAATATGAAAAATGCAGTACATTGATTGAGAAATAATGATATGAAATGTAATGTTTATACAGTATATTGTAAGAGGATAAGTATATTTAAATGTGAGCATGGACACGTGGACCCATCTATGATTGGATTGTTTAGGTTTACATGTTTGAACATATGAAGAACATACTGTATCTTTAGTTTACAGACCTGCATTAGCTTTTATTCCAGTCATAAAACCTAAACCTATTGCTGGAAAATGCACACTTGTACTAATCTTCATAATATCTCATACTGACAATTAGTAGACACTTTTTTACTGACAACAAATGATACAAGATGTGCATGTCAAATTAGATCAAACAGCAAGAAACTTATAGTAAGCCAAAATGTCCAACTTTGGCACCCTCCTGTGGTAGTATCAGAGAAGGAAGAGTGGAAGAAACAGATCAGAGCCAAGGACACTGAAATGAATGGGCAGAAAGGAGACATAAACTGCACCAGTTTTCAATGGGATTGTCAACTCTTTAAAAAGAGTGATTTTTTTGTCCTCCATGATGGTCCTTGATGTGTCGCCTCAATTGTTAGTAGCTTCTCATTTGCATATAGTTCATTTATACCTATCTACATACCTGCTCAAAAATCAAGAGGGAACTTGTGTTGAATTAGGTCACAGCTCATAAACATACAAACATACAATGTTACACTGATAATTTACTCAGTTTTGGTAGATGACACTAGTCAAATTGGACCATACTTTTCCAGTCTTTCCTTCTGTTATTGCTGTTAAGATGACGAGACTAAAGCACCAAGACAGCAGTAAAGCACACAACAGTGATCAGGCAGCCATGCACCATAACTGACAGTCAGTGCAGATATGACAGAGACCTGCGGGGATGACGAGGGGTACAAGACATGTCTGTGCAGTGAGCAGACAGATCATAAACCACGATGATGTTATAATGATGTATATGCAAGGACAAGATATAACCAGGCTTAGGCCTATCTTTTCTTCGATATGATTGGAGACAGGATGAGATAGTGTGCATGTAAATGTATTCAGTCGGGGACAAAAAGAGCTGCAGATGTTATCGTTGGGGGGCATTCAATAACTTATGTCTAAAATGTTCCCAAATTAAAGCTGACAGTGCTGCTGTTTGGCCTCACAGTCATTTCGTCTTTTCACATCCGATGTAATCAGAGTCTGAAGCCGCAACAATGAGTCACTTTCAAAGTTCTTCTGGAGGTCATTGTGTCATCTGAAGTTGGTTTATGTATCCGATGGCTGATCACAAGTTTGGATGAATGAAATCCTAGTGTTACAGAACAGAGGATACTCAATGTGTGTGTGTGTGTGTGTGTGTGTAGCCCCATGGCAGGACAGAGTGCTGGGTGATGAGGTGGAGATTCCTCAGAGCAGCAGCAGTCACCACAGGCTCTTCTATTCCTGTCTGTCTGTCTGTCTGTCTGTCTCTCTTTCTCACACACACACTGTGTTGCCACGGGGAGGAACTTTGTATACGAGGAGCGGCACTGTGTGTGTGTTATGGTGGATATAAAGCAAGTAGCCCCTTAGGTGACAGCTCACAGAATAAGGTTTTGCCTCAATACAGCGAGACCCACGTGAAAGAGAAGCAGTACTGACTGATTCACAGACTGTTTTGTGTGTGTGTGTGTAGGTCCGATGAGGAGATGGTGAAGTTCATGCAGTTAATGAACTCCATTTGGAACATCTGTGGTAAAGATGTGGTCACGGCCTTCGATCTTTCGCCTTTCAAGGTCATCTGCGACCTTGGAGGTAAGTTTGTGTGTGTGTGTTTATGGAGTCACCATATCTAATTTACATGAGGTCGTGGGTTCACAGTCATTAACATTTAAAAACTGTTGGTGTCATGTGTTAGCTGTGAGACAGCTGGCTCAGTCGCACACACATATTTATACAATACAGTTTGTGTGCACAAAACTGCATAACACACACAGTCAAGTGTGACCTTTATTATACCCCCCTCAGCCTCGCTGAGTTAATGGCTCTTAGTAAATCAGTCAGCCTTCCCGACACACACAACTCAAAGTCACCTCCACCTGGAGTTTCCCTCATCCTGTCAGTCACTGTTTTACTGTTGCCAAGTACTACCATTATTGTGTGTAAAATATCATTATGATGTGAAAATCATGGTTTTTTTCCCCTTCAGTTCCTTCATAGCTGAACAAATACAACAATACAACAACAAATAGTTTTCGAACACATGGGCTTGATATTTTTTTTTAAATATTAAACATCTGCCACCACTCACTCAGCTATAGTGTTGTTGGTCACCTTTCAGTGGCGTTTTGTTGATGCCTTAGTTTTTTAAATGCTATTTCAGGGAGATATCCTGTCGAACAAGAACATAATTAGCAGAAAAAACACTTTTGGGATAACCCCTGGCCATGTCCTCTGTGATGCTGGTCAACTTAAATGGGCCTTTTTTTTCTCCATTCCTGGCTTACTGAGTCAATAAACTGTTGCGAAAACTGAAATTACATTTAACTGTCAACCTTCCCACCTTGATGTGGCAGCAATGCTAAAAATCCAACTTTCTGTCACCTTCAGCTCTCAGCCATTGTCACTGTCCTATTTTTCAGACAGTAATTTAATTGACTATCGTAATTGTGCAGGAATTATTGTTAGCCAAAGTTAACATGGGTGACCATTTTTTAAAAACGTTATACTCGTGCTTTTGTTTGAAAGCTGAAACAGAAAGTTTCAATGAAAACATTTGAGCTGTGTGGTCTTTCCCACTGAAAACAAAATAGGAGTTCACAGAGAGGTTTAACCTGTTGAGACTAAGTGAAGTATCCAGCCATGTCTGTCACAATAGTCTATGTGTTTCACCTTTCTTCTTGCCAGGTAATGACTATAATTAACAATTTTTTGGTAGTTTGTTTTTGTAAGCATACAAAAATATGCATATACCAATAAGTAAGATGGGAATACATTTAACTCCAATGTATTGTATATTAATGTATCTTCCATCTGTTGTTCAACAGAAGAAGCTCTGAATGGTAAATTAATGAATGTGAAGCAGGATGTTGCAGCCTAGTCGCTCTTCTTTGGATACAAAAGGGGAAAAGGTATTGACTAATCGCTGCTATGTAATCTTCTTTGTCAAATCAGATTTATTTATAAAGTGCTTTAGTACAGCAGGTTTCTTGTAAAATGGTCTACACAGAGAGCAAATGGTACAAGGATGGAAAAAGTGAGGAAAGAAATAACAGAACAAACACAACATGAACTCCACAATGTGAGGCCAGGGCTTCCAAAGAAATACAGAGAAACGAGCCGAGAACAGAGCAGGATGTGAGGAAAAAAAGGATAAAAGGAAAAATTAATCTTCTGTTGTCACAAGAGTTTTAATCTCCTGCTGAAAATGATAATGATATGAATAATAATCGTTTGTCGTGTCAGTGTTCTTTTTCATTTTGTTTCTTTTCTGTCTTTTTAACCAAACTGAGAGCTGAACATTGTCTCCACTCATGTACTCCTCAATTGTTCAAAAATAGAAGGCTAGATGATGAACAATAATGTAGCAGTAATGAAAAATCTTAAAATAATGTTGTTTCTAAGAACAGAATAATGTTTTAGTCTGTGGCTGTTTCCACAAGACAATACCCAGAGATAAATGATCCAATGAATTATCTTAGTATTTAGGTTTTGTGTTAAATCAGATTAAAGCCTGAGATAGAGGCACAGAAGAGACAATCTAATACAGACTGAATGTATTTTAGTCTTATACTGAAATGGGTAAAAGTGTCTTGACATTTATCAAGACAAAGAAAGCCAAGGAAAAAACATCCCATTCTACACAAGTGTGTCTCCATTTTTCTTTGTTTTAATGATTTAAAAACAACCTTTGGGCTTAATCAGGTGAAGAAACGTCCCATTCCAACCATGTGTGGTTGCCTCCTGTGTGTGACACCTCATCTGACCACACAGGGGAGCTGTGAAGCCACTGAAAGCACTCATACACACACAGGCACACATCCAGGACAGCCTTCCTGTCTTTCCTCTCCTCTGTGACTTCCTCAGCATGGGGTTATGTGTTCATGTTTATGCATTAAGGTGCTTCACCAAACAGAGTGTGCATGAGGAGTGTGAAGGGAGTGAATGCAGTGTCCCTTTAAGACTTTGTCTCCCACACAGCATCTGTTGTGACTGCACACACCTGCTGCTCAGGTGCTCTGTCTGTCTCTCTGCGTGTCTACCTGTCCGCCTGTCTGTCCAACTTTCTGCCAACTAGCTGACTTTCATCCAAATCAGTTATCAGCCAGTCTGAGACCACATTCAAAGTCTTCATCATTTATATGACAAAGGTGGTTTGTTCCATACTGCCTGTCGATGTGAAGCCCGTCACCTAGATTTATTTTAATGTGACATTTAAAACACATTTCAATTGTATGTTTTGTTTAAAAATAAACTTAAAGGTTATACTGCTATTCTAAGGAAATTATATTCATGGTTCTGAAGCACAATGTTTTTTTTTTATGTAAATAACCATCTGCTTCATGCTGTTACATGTAGCAAACTCAGTTAAAAAGTATTCATATCCTTTGAATTAGAAAAACGTATTATGCTACAATGAAAGAATGCATTTAAACTTTTATCATAACAAGAGTAAACAAACACGTAAGTACTGAAAGTTAAAGAACTGAAAGTATAGAACATAACTAGCTATAAAGTATAGAAAGTAGGCCTATAGATAGATAGAATATTCTATTTTCTAAAATATTTAACGACTTAACATGGACAAGGTTCACAGCTCAATCACTGTTTAATCTATAGCAATCTATCTACAGCAATGGTTATCATTTGTTTTGCTGGTAAAAGCATCAGAAAACTAGGATGAGGTTTTGTTCATTGTCACTCAGTTTAATCATGAGAACATGTTCTGATTCTGTGTAGTGGTACACCTAACCTAAGTTAAGTGTTAACTGGTTTAAATGTAAACCAGTTATTGTGCCTGTAAAGGGGCACTCCAGCGATTGCTCCTCTATAAACATGGGGGACTTGCAAGGGACATAAAAAAAAGAAAAGAATAGTAAAAATATATGCAGCATAAGGCTGAGATATCCTGACATTTAGTCCACATAGCTTAAGCTCCAAAGATGCTGGATCCTATAGTTCAGAATCAGCTTTACTGGCCAAGTATGTGTACAAATTTAATACAGAACATTTTTTTCAGGAAGATAGAAATAGATATACAGCTAAAGACAGGTAAAACTAAACTATTATGTACATACACAATGACTACGCTTCCCACAAAGCAAGTTGTATTTTTCATTAGACCCTCTCTGTGGCAAATGCCCACGTCTTTCGAACACCATTTCCCCTGTTCGTAGCACAGGCTTTCTGTGAAAATTCTCAAAAGTATCCGGGCCAAGTCAAGATAACCCTGATTATATCTTCTGAGGTCTGACAAAGCTTCTCCAGAACCACATAAATACATTATATCACAGGCTGAGGAATACTCCCCACTGTAAATAAACTGATCTTGATGTAAAATCAGCGGAGTTCCCCTTCAGTGGTTCCTCCACACAGTGGAATAAGTTGGATGCAGACTTGCAGATGGAGAGCCTAAATAACCATTATTCTAAGACAAAATATATATGCAAGTAAAACAAATGACTTTTATAAAACACTCATACTAGTAGTAGTGCATTTGGATTAACAATTAAATGATCACACATTTGCACAAATAAATGTATATCAGATAACATACAGTTAAAGTAAATTGAACGAAAACACAAAAAAGAGAAATAAAAACACAACAATAATATATATAACAGATATAACACACTGTAACAATCACTAACGACCATCAAAGGATTTCATTAACAAACTAAGGCAGCCATGTTAGCTCAGGGTCTTGTACAGCGTGTTGTGTTTGCTTTTGCTCCTCCTTGCTGCTCTTTGATTTTTCTCCTCTGCTGACCCCTGTTTGATGTGAGAGCCATAGAGCATCTGTCTATGTGTGTGTGTGTGTGTGTGTGTGTGTGTGAAAAAGATAAAGCCTTGTAAGAATACAGGCTGATACAGTAGCAGCAGGTCATGTTAGGAGGAAGGCACTACTGAGCTTGACAGTTTTTCCTGTACACACACAACCACACACCCTCACACATAGGTCTGGCTGGCTTTGTAGGTTTTTCAAAGTGAGATCCTTTGATCCTGTATTCCACCTCACTGCGTTTCCATCACTCTACCCCATTCATACATTCTTGATCTGTTTCATGCACTTTCTCTCTCACTCTCTGTTTTAAATTCAGATTGCTTTATGAAGCATGAACGCTGATAATAATGCTGCCAAAGCATCAAGTTGAAATATTCATATTTTCACATTAAAAGTTTGTTTGTGTGTGTGTGTGTGTGTTTGTTTGTTTGTGTGTATTTGTGTGCGTGTGTGTGTTTTAGTTCGTAAGCTCATTTAATTTCCTTATTTTCCACTCAAATCATCAGGTCTGACCTGTACCCTAAATTGAGTTACAGTTCTCTCTATGAGGACAGTAAGCAAAACAAGACTAAGAGTCTGCTTCCATGCTAGAAACTCTGTAAGGCTAAGCTAAATGCTAACACCAGTATGCTAATATACACACACACTATAATAATAATAATAATAATGCTAGCATCTTCTTGGGACCATGAATGTCTGTACAAAACTTTGCTGCAATCAAGACGATAGTTACTGAGGTATTTAAATAACAAACAAAAGACGCATTTTGGGACCACCAACGTCAGTAGGATTCATTCCCCTGTGACCATGAATACGCCAAATTTCATGGCAACCCCTCCAATATTTAGATAATTCAGTCCTGTGTGCATTGACTGACCATTCAACAGACGAACATTGCCAACCCTGGAGCCATGCTGCTAGCATGCAGAGTAACAAAGATTTTTCAAATGCATTAACATGTAAAGGCTCATATACAAATGCATGTGAAATCAGATAACAATCACATTGTGTGGTTGTGTTTGCTTTTTCTTAAATTAGATTTCTTAGTAGGATTCCTAGACAGCAAGCTCTGCTCTGTTTCTGTATAAAGCATCTGTCTCTCAGTCACTCTAAATTCAGTTCAATTCAGTCTGCTTTATTGGCATGAATGTTAGATGAACCATATTCCCAAAGCCGCCACATACAACTGAATACAAATCATGCAAATAAATAATGGGTATATACCTGAAAGCATCTGTTCCACCTGTGTGACTCTGTGTGTTGTGTGTGTGTATATGTGCACAGCGTGCACGATGCACCTTGTTAATGAAGGTTGTGATTATTCATTGCACCGTAACTAAATGTAATTCTCTCTCTTTTTTTTTCTCTCCCTCTCTCCAGGCTGCAGTGGAGCATTAGCCAAGCAGTGCACGTCAGCCTACCCAGAATGCACTGTTATGATCTTTGACCTCCCCAAGGTAGTGAGTACATCGAGGGAACACTTTGTCACGGAGGCCGACCAGAGGATAAGCTTTCACGAAGGTAACGTCATCATGACAGGGTGAAATCACTTGACATTTCTAATCACATACAGCCAGTTCAAGTGAAACACACACAGTCATCATCATCCACAAAAATAGAAATGACTGTATTTTTCCCAGGATAAAGTTTTGAATAAGCTGGAACTATGTCAGTACACATTAAGAATAAAATATACTGAATCCTTCAAGGATTAATTAGTATCCAACATGTGGCTGTGTTTCTTTATCAAATAATATTATCTATAAACATTTAGACGTGGTATTAACATGCAATATGTATCTGGACACTGTTATCTATGCATTCACATTTACACCTGGTATGAATAAGCCTTCTCCTGCTCTAAATTATTCTCCCATTTTGATCGTATCTCGATATGCAAATCACATCGGCAGAGCTGGTGGGCTTGTCAACGAAAGTGACACGTCTCAGGTGAAGAGAAGTGACATGGCTGTATGGGCTCTGCTTATTTTTGCTTTGTCAGGAAAAGTGTTGGTCTGTAGGTTTTCACCAGGCACAATATTTCCAACACAATAACAAAAAGTTCAGCAACAGGTAAAGGATCTCTTGGACTTATATCTTAAGATCACTTCCCACACCACGATAAGAAGTGTAGATCTCAGGACCTGTGACATCTGGATTCCAATTAAATTCCACCAGTGAATACTTTGAGATATGGCTTTGGTATGGTTACAGTCTATCTGCCACCATCAATCTTGTTTCCTTCTAAAAGCATAAAGAAATGACAGAAAACATCCTTTGAAGATACTTTCTAAGTTAATGAACAATAGAGTGCAACTCTGATCTGAAAATAAAAGCAGAGTAAGACACTGTTCATGCTGTCACATGCTCGCTTCATGCTCCCACTGAGTTGCTGCTGTCGGACTGAAAATATTGTGTAACAAAAACTGTCAATTTATATCTCACACTTTGTTGTGTCGGCTCTCCAACGCAGCAGCTAATGTGTGGGAAAAACTTTTTAGCAGCCTGTGATCTTGAAAATCCAGAGCCAAAATCAATTCCTGCCTCTCCCGCTGTTCTCATAGATGAACACAATGGGAGCTGTAACATGGGAAACATGACATGACATACTTCTGTATGTATTATTTCATATTAACTTCAAATATTGCGGTCACACAGTTATAATGGGCAGCAAGGACATGGAATTGAGTGGAGGACAAGCATTGTTAGACAGCAGCTGTAAACATGATGTTAGGTCATATACTTTTGACATAATTTGATTACAACAGACATCACCCCATTGTATTAATTATGTCTGAGTATGTAAACCACTTGCAGAATCATTATCTTATTACCGGAAGGCTTGTCAACATAATTAATAATTATGTAAAATAATAATTATATCAAATATAGCAATGTCTTTGGAATTCAGTACATTTGAAGGTGTTTGTGTGTGTGCGTGTTTAGGGGACTTCTTCAAAGACCCCCTGCCAGAAGCTGACCTCTACATCCTCGCCAGAATCATCCACGACTGGACCGACGAACGCAGCATAGAGCTCCTCAGTAAAGTCTACAAAGCCTGCAAACAAGGTCTGTGTGTGTGTAAGTGTGTGCGTGTGTGTGTGTGTGTGTGTGTGTGTCTTTGAGTGTGACAGGGATGAGTACTTTTTCCCCCTGCTTGAAATGAGATGGCAGATTGTATCCCACAATGCAGCTGATCCCAGAAAAATCTGTCCTTCTGACTTTGATCAAAGACAAACGCGCACACACAAAAGCAGCAGATACTATCAGGAGGCAGAAAACCCTCTCATGTGTTTGTGTTTGTGTGTGTGTGTGTGTGTGTACATAAAAACAAAGAGTAAATAGGGAAGCCTAGTTTTTCTCGACAGAGAATACAGCCTGTAGTATGAAGTAGTTTCTTATTTCGACAACAGACATTTTGACCCGTTATAGCAGTGAAAGCACATGTGTTAGTTATAACATTAATGATGTCTCTTTTCCTGCAATTTCTGCAATGCAATGTAGCAATTAACAATAGTGTTCGTTACTGACTGATTGACAATAAGAAGCTTTACCAAACAGTAAGGTCATCAGTGTAAACTTATAAACTTTGTAAACACAATAACTAAATGAACAATAAAATACAGTTCTTTGTCCTGTTGACTGGTTCAGCATTAAAAATAAACTGCCATTTACATACTGTGCATACTCTGTAATCATCAAACTGAGTTTTGCTCGCTAACTTAAAGTGGTTTTTTGCATTTAAAAATGTGCATTCTCTGGTTGGAATTGGCAATAATTTGACGAAATCTAAAAATACTGCAAAAAAAGGCTTTTACAATTGGATGAGATGGAAGAGTTGATGTATCGCTAAAAGCAAAATGCAACAATGTGCAATGGAAACAGACTTAGAGAATAAATTATGACATACATAAAGCACATGACTTAAACAGCCACTAAACTTTAGCTCCACTTCAGAGACAAACATCACTCCCAGCAATATTTGTTTTTAAGGTGTACTAAAGCAGATTGCATGATATGGTTAAGCTACGTTTGAGTCAAAAGATGTTAGAAATGCAGCTACAAGAACAATATTTCCACTCACATCTTGTTTGATTTGAAAAGAACCTAATCTAATTATAGTTTTACCTATTCTAATTATCTAATAACTCCCCCTGCTCTTTCATTCTTTTCTATCTGCGGGATGGGTCTCGTTTCTCTATGACTCACTCTGTACTGAGTATTTTGTTGTGGTGCTTGTCCTATTTTGATGATGATTCAAGGTAAATCATGTTGTTTTGATATATACTCCGGATATTCAGCATTCAGTTAATATGAAATTTGCTACAGTTACGTTAGCGAAACTGCCACTAGCGGGCTAAGCTTTGCTCGGACACTTGTCAAATCAGTCAGTAAACGAAGGAAAGAAACAAAGAAATAGAAAAAACATAAAAGACAAAGAGAAAGGAACAAACAAACAAGCAAATAACCTTTTGGTCCATCCTGTAGGAGGCGCTGTGTTGCTGGTGGAGGCGTTGCTGTATGAGGATGGCTCTGGCCCACTGACAGTGCAGCTCTACTCCCTGAATATGCTGGTACAGACGGAAGGCAGAGAGAGGACAGCTGCTCAGTACGCTGCCCTGCTGGCTGCTGCCGGCTTCACCAACATCCAGCACCGCCTCACTGGGAAGATCTACGATGCAGTGCTGGGGCACAAAGAGACATGAGACTAGTAGATGAGGGTACACAAGTACCAGGACTGAAAACTACAAAAAAAAAGTTTTCTACTACTGTATTTTTGGATTTATTTTATTTTCATTTCACCATAAGTCTGGCAGTCATACTGTATGACAAGACTTCAATATTCTGTATCTGCTTTTTAACCGAATCTGTAGGACTTTCAAACCAGTGGCCACTGTTGCTGCCCAGTTTTGAATACTGAATATTCTGAATTATTGTGCATCATTTCCACCTGTAAATCAGTATATTTGGTATCTTTGGGAACTAAAATAAAGTTCTACAACAATGCTTGGCCTCAAAACATCAGTTTGTAATCGACCCCCAAGGGGTAAAATAACACTTCAGACTTGTGTTCTGGTCTTTAAGTGCTGAATCAAGAGACAACTACAAGAAACTATAGTTGTAATTCACTACTGATAAAACAAATTATCTCCTCAACCACAATCTTCGCAAATCCTTGGATTGATGTGAGTCTCCTTTGGTCTTTGACACTGATCACACAACACCAGCAATCACACAATAGCTACTATTAATGTCTAATAGAGAAAATAATGTTGTTGGTTTGAAAACATGTAAACATACTGTATAATATGATTGTTTCATGAGTGAGTGTGGAAATCTCTATGACCTACCTGTCAGTTTGATGTTAGGAAGACGGCTGCAGACTTTTTATGATTACTGACCTATTAACCTATTATATAACCTTCAATAAATGTGGTTAACTTGTATTAGTTTCAGTACTAGAGGCAGTTACCAGCACTTTGGGTTATCAGTCCAGATATTCTAACAAATGAGTACAAAGTTGCTTTTAGCTGTAAAGGGCTGTGTAGCTTCTCAGTGGGTCCACTGCCATTAGCAACGCATAACCAGGAGAACCTTCATTGAATGTTCATCTAAAAAAAAAGTAGCTTAAGCCTTCTTTAATATCTAAAAATTATGTTGGATACCAAGCATGCCAACAGTTTTACCAGTTGTCAAATACAAACAGCTTTCCATTCACAGCCAAACTGAGCGAAAGTCAGCGTGCTAATACTATTTCTGGAGTATGACCAGTAGGGGGCAGTGTAAATTATATCAATATAACAATATTGAAGGTAATGCTAAGTCTTCTTTTTTGTACAGTCACTTTATTGCCTCTATTGATTGGCCCATTTTATTGTGTACAGAAGTTATTTTCCTTTTTCCAGTGGGTGAGTGTTTGTGTTGACTAGTGCTGTGGCATTTTTTGCAAATTTGCACCGTCACTACCATTTATTTCTATTTTTATGTCACTTTACTGTCAGGGTTCAAATGCATTTTTTTAAATTATGAAGGGGGTGTATTTAAACTAAAACATGGTGTTAAGTTGCTAACAGTAAAATACAGATTTTTGCAATAATTTTGTACCCAAGCTTGTTCCAGATCTAGACAATCAAGTAAGAGACTATAAACCCAGTCCAATCTGATTCTGCTTTAAATGATTATCCATACCCTGCAAAGGTCAACCTCTATTAGATGATGTGCACAGTGAGCTTCCAGTCTCATTGCTAAGAAGATGAACTTCCTTACATATCTGTTCTCATCACTCAATCCTAAGCCCTGTGTCTGAACCCCCTCGCCTCTTACTGTTCTTAACAGCCTCGTAAAGCTGTCTTTGTACCATGTTCTTTTTACTGATGGACGTGACTCAATACATCTTCTCCACAATGGCTCGGCCCACCTTTTATTTCACCTCTATCCTCTTTACCGCACAGGACGTATTCATAATGGAAAAACCCAGCCTTGTCATTGTGCTCCACCTCGGATGTGACGCAGTTTGCTTGAAAACATTATTGAACTGATCGACACTAAAACTTCCACACATGTATTTGTGAATAGAATATTCAGTAACATTAATACTAACTGTCATTTATTTAGGCATAGAAATGAGCCTGCCAAAAGATAATAGCACAAAATATCAGCTGTCTGACTCTTCAGCAGAAAAAGATCATAATCAGCCTTCAGATACCAATATTGTCTGAATCCTGCTCTGCATTCAGAAGACTGTACCACCACTGTTCACTCTTTTCTATACGCCCACACACTCTCGTTGCCCTCTCTATCCTCGTCTTGCAGTAATTGTGAATTAATCAGACTTCAAAGTGCAACAAATTAGAATTGATGTCAAATCCTTGTGGACGGTTTTACAGAGAGTTGGCCTAATGAAGAGAAATGAAGTGCTGAGGCTGAAGACAGCTTGACCTGTGCAGAGGCAGTGATAGTACCCAGTGACACAGTGCGGTATTACCAATGTCATGGTGGTTAACTAGTGTACAACTTGCTGCTGGGCGTTGGTGGGTTTGAGAAATAAATCCTTACTTGAGGATGAAATGCTTTTTAAGTTAAAAGTTGTTACCACAGAGATGGGAAATAACAAAGTTCAAATACTTTGTTACTGTACTTACGTAGTTTTTTTCAGGCATCTGTAGTTTAATCAAGTACACATTTTTACTTTTACCCCCAACATTACTCCTTTCATTTTTAAAAACAGGCTTGTGTCTTTAGTTTTAATGAGAATTTGAGGGTAATTATCGATTTCTTTTATTGTTGCATGCCTTCCCAACATCAAGCCTGTTGCATATCACACATGACGAGAGATGAAGACTCAACCCTATTTGAAGTTTCAGTAAGCTTTGCACAGAAACAGCCCCTAAAAATGTCCTTCAGAAAACCCAGAGAGTACTTTTTAGTTTATACTGTGAGTATATCTCAGAGTTTATACCTTTTTACTTTTAAGTTGAATCAGTACGTCTATCTAGTATCTATGCTTCTACTTGAGTAATGAATGTGTGTACTTTTGCCACCTTTGTGTAACCTCTGTTAGCACCCCCGTTTAATAGGTGGTTTCAAATCTGCATTCATCCCCATAACCTGATTTAACTTTCCTGTGACTACTAATCCTCCCCTCACACTAAAACCCACATTAAATAAGAATGAATTAAGAATTAAGTTCTTTTTTTCTGTCTCAGATGAAAAAATTTAAAAAACTTTCTCCATATGAAAGTATCCAACTGCTTTGTATTTCTAAATAAAAGGAAGCACTGCAAATCAACGCTGTTTGATTTTTTTGGGGGGCGATGTTTTTTGATTTATATAAAAAAAAAACAGCTCAGGGCATCAAAGTAAAAAAACAATTTAAAAAGCAGTGTGAAGAATTACAGCAGGGAGTTTCATTTAAAACTATTCAAATAAGGGAACTGCTTCCCGGTCAGGATGTGAAACAACAATTTTGTTGTAGTCCGCATTTAAACAAACTTCACAGATTTTTTTTTACACTGCAGGAGAAAATCAGCTGTAATTCCGTGAGAGTATCTCTTCAAATACTTTCCCCTCGCTTTTCGTCAATGATTTAGACTCAGGTCAATGTTTTCCACTTCAGCAGAGAAAGGTGCATACATTTCTCCTCTCTACTTTTCAGTTCCATTTACTGCTCCTCATCTCATGAGGCTATTATTGTGCCATCCTCAGGTTCAACCTGAGTGGGTTTTATGGATGGTTGTAGAAAGTTAGAACTATAAAAATAGCGAACTGTGATGGAGAAGAGGATAGATAGGTAAGCTGAGGACATCCAGACTCTTTTACTCTCCCTACGCTGGACACGTGACTCAAGTAAGCCTGACCAGAGAAAACACAGAATCCCAAAATAAAGCAGAGACGGGGGATGTCCTTGTTACCTTGTGGTTTGTGATGCATGTGTAACCACAGTGTCCCTGGTTTGATTCCTGCCAGCAAAAGCAGCATTATATATTTATGGATTACATGTGTGTGTTTGTGATTTGATTCCTATGCATTTTTCATCATGTATGGAAGCACATTCCCCTCCAGGACGTGGATGAAAAGTTAGGAATGATAAAAACAAGAACTCTCCTGAGTATCTCTTAATTATGGCACAGTAAAGTGTAAATTATGACTTACAGCCATGTGTGTATGTCAGTGTGTGTTTTATGCTGTGTGAGTGTTGATGCAAATGTTTGTACCAACGCATATATGAATCGGCATATATGAAATCGTGTGTATTCACCTGTGTGTCTATGTTCATTTGTGTGTGTGTGTGTGTGTGTGTGTGTCTGAGCGTATGTGTTACTATACTCTTTGGGGACACTCTAAATCTGCTCTACAAGTCACGCACCCATCCACCCTCAAGCTCCAGGATGCCACTTTAAGAATAACAGACTCTTCGGGGTAGTTTCAAAGTGAACACACCTCAGTTTATGCCAGAGACTGCTGTGTGCGTGTGTGTGTGGTTTGTGTGCGTGTGTGTGTTGAAGAGAGAGAGAAGAAGAGAGAGAGAGAGAGAGGATGTATGTGTGTGTGTGGTGCTTATTAGAGCTCCTGGCTCTTTTTTGTGATGTAGTTATGTTTTCATTCCGAAGTTTTCACAGGAAACTGTTGAAAGTTAAGACCTGTTTTCTTTTTTAGAACAGCAGTCAGAGTGTAGCTTAACATCTCCTAGAACATCTCAATGTGATCAGAAGTGTCTTGGAAAAACACAACAGATAAACTGTCTTCCAGTTTTTGCATTTTATTTTAATGCGCTTTTTAAAATGTATATCTTAAAGCTTGAGTGTGGGACTTTTACATATAATGAACGTCTATAAGATTCAAGCCGTTGCCAAATGACCTTACACAATGCTGATTAAGCCTATCTCAGAGTTTTTTAATCTGGTGTGTGTGGCGACATTCTCACGCACCATGATGTGTTTTACGTCAACTAGCAGTGATTGGTTTGCCAGAGCTAAACGGCGGAGCAACCGTGGTGATGGACTGTTTGTAATAACTCTCACTGCCAAAAGGGGAGATCAAAAGTTCCACACTGCAGGTTTCATCATTTTCTAAACCAATTAATTTGTAAAACAGCTCTTACATCCTATGCTCTTAAAATTGACAATAATTTATAAATCAATCTGACTACTGTTTCTTAATTATTCAAATGTACAGTGTAGATTATGTTTTTCTAGCTTGACCAAAT